CCAGGTGCTCCTGGAAGGTAATTTTTAAGACAAACTGTTAGGTACATATTAGAGGAGGCCCGAAGGAATGGCAAGAATTGAGAAGACAGGTCACCTATAAATTTTGGGAAACTTTGCATTGATACATTTCCCAAGTCATAACTTAGAGTAGATAATTATGTAATTAAATTATACACACAAAAACTCCAGAACTTCCAAATTATGTATTTGAAGGAGGAATATTCATTTTATCAAAAACTTCTGAAATATTCTGACTCCTATTCCTTTAATGTTTGTTTTACTCACATTACCTTTACAATTCCTTAGGACACACTTGATTGGTTTCCTTAAATTTAGGCAACTGATTTTAGCTCAACATACATGGACAAACATTCCACTTGCAAAAGCAAAAACTAAAGTGCAAAACATTGTACCATTTAATATTATTCTGTTTTCTCAAGTGGACATACATGTATAATTATCACCGAAGAAAAAAGAAATTATATCCCCTTGCTCCGGGGTAAGGTCTGGACATGTGATTCAGGCCAGTCCAGGGAAGGTTTTCTATTAACTGGTCATAACAACTGCCTTTGGGATGAGCCAAGAAGAGCCATAGCTCTGAGTGGAGTTATCAGAAAGGAGTGGTCCACTTTTCCCAGGGTGTTTAGTTGACAGAAACAAGCCTTAAGGTGCAAATAGCAATACTTCTACCCTGAAAAGGGAACATGGTAAGAATGATGCCACCTTGGAACAGAGCCAAAAGATGTTTGTTCAACATCTGTTATTGGGCACCAATTATGATTACTTCAATACTGGAGACAGAGCTCTGAGGACAGAGTTATGATCAAAGTGGGTAAAATCTCTGCCCTAAAGGACTTTGTCTTCCAGTCAAAGCAGGCTGGAGAGACAACAATCAAATAAATGAGGACAAATTATAAAATGTATGGTAGCTGTCAGTGCTCTACCCAAGAACAAAGCAGAGAAGGAGATAAGAGTGTCAGGAGATGAGGGATGCACTTTTAAACATGGCGGGCGGGTGGCACTGAACTGATATTTGAGCAAAGATCTCAAAGAAATTAGAAAGAAAGCCACTGGATGCCTGGAGGAGCTTTCTGACTAGAAGGAACAGCAAATGCAGAGGCCCTGAAGTGACAGTGGAATGAGCGAAGAGGAAAATAGCAGGAAATAAGTCAGAGGAGGATTTGGAGGATGGATATAAAGCCTTGTTGAGCATTATAAGGATTTAGTATTTATCTGAAATGAGATGAAATGGGACATCCTGAGCATCACTGTGGCCTATTGGAGATAAGGGTGGAAAGAGGGTGAACAGGAAGGGGTCACTGCTCCGATCCATGTGAGGGATGTTCCAGCTTGCATCAGGATGACAGCAGTGATAGCAGTACGATGTGGTAGATTCTTGCAGAAGTCAGATTCTGAATCAGTTGTTGGGCATGAGAGAAAGAGAAGAGTTGAGGGTGATTCCAAGATTTTTGGCCTGAGCAACTGAAATATTGGGATTTAATTTACTGAGATGGGGAGTTGTAGAAGGGACAGGTTTTAAATGGGGTAGATGGAGTAGTCAAGAACTTAGTTTTAGAAATATTCAGTTTGAGGTCTAATTAGATGAATCTTGAGGATGTTGGTTGAGTGCTAAATCCACCCATACTGAAAGCCAGAATCACCACTTGACTTTTTAGTTATACAAAGCAGAATATTTGCCCTACAAATTCTTTCTTGCAATCTCTGAACATAAAATTCTCAATATGTTTCCTTTTAGAAGCCAACAAATCTCATCATTTACATGTCATCTGCAATTTTTCCTCATCAGTGCCTTTAGATACAAGCTGTTCTTAAGAGTTAGCTCTCCTTGGGTTGCAAGTAACAGAGATCCATTTTAGATTACTTAAAGAGGCTAATTAGAGTTTAACTCAGAAATGCTTCCAAAAAACACAAGTATTTGGATATCAAAAATTAAGTGTTTAATGGAAGCTACAGTATTTAACTTGAGAATCCTTGTATTTTACATTAATCAAAAATAATCACCCAAGATCTGTATTGATATAAAGGCCTGCATACTAAATTCCCTGATTACGACGAGTCCATGAAACTTGCACATCTGAAGCAAGATGGTAGAAGACTATATATAGTAAGTGTTTTGAATTCACAATGTTCAGTCAAGAGGAAGTATATTTGATTAATAATAGTCCTCCAGGCTGGCCTGCTTTAGATTTCATTCATCCATTTAGCTACCCACTCAGTATTTAACAAGTGGTTTGTAGCACCTTGCTGGGCACTAGGGCCAGATGAACAAGACACAGAAGGATTCTTTCCCCATAAAGTTTACAATCCAGAGGGGAAAACAGATAGCAAGCAAATAATAAAGGTTTTATTTTAATTATGTCTGAAGCATGATGATAATTCTCTTTAGAGAGATAATCACAAAAACCTTGCCAAAATTCTTAAATAGGATTTGAAGCTAAATCCATGTCAAAGGTTAGGATGACTATTAAGATTTGCCAGTAACGGTAATAATAACAGCTTTAAAGGATTCTGTTTTACTTGCATTTTGGTATCTTTAAGGAAAAATTATTAACATAAAATTGAAAATTTAACACATGCTTTTTATTCTAATCTTAGAATAATTAAGGATTTCTATGATCTCTATGAATTTCCCACCCAACACAGGAAATTTTTCCCTAATAACACCTACAGATCAACATGCAGACTCCAAATGAATTGCAGAAATAGGAATGTATCACTTTCAGAGGGATTTTATTCAATTGTTGGAATTCCCATCAGACGACAGCTCTGTGAGCAAAGGTGTCCTGTCTATCTTTGATCACCTTACCCATGTCCTAAGCATGGAGCAAAAATCCCAATAAATGTTGGGTGTTGAATGAGACATGGATATTCTGATTATATGGTTGAAAGAGAGGACAGCACAATTAAGACTATGTGAGATTTGGATGCCTATCCTGCTACTTAGTCTGTGATCTCAGGGAAGTTAAATAACCTCCATATGCCTCAGCATCCTCATCTCTACAGTGAGGCTACCAGCAGCTTCCAAGTCATGGTGTAGTGAGAACTGAGAATCAGTACATGAAAAATATACTTAGAAGAGTAACTGCAAATTGCTCAGTTAGTGTCAGCCATTAAAATCATAATCGCCATCATTACTGTTGCAAATTTCTACTTTGGATTGGGTGTTTATATGCTACACCTAAATCATAAAAATTTCTTTTTAAAATTTTATTTCATTCATTGTACATTATCATAATATTCCTATTATTTGTCCTTTCCTCTTGTCTTACCAATTTGCTAAGTTCTTCACTGATTCCATGATGATGTCACACGGTCTTTTACAAACATAATTTTCTAGCAAGTAATCACATCAATTATTAAGTCAGAGGAAAGAGCCAGATAAACTTGTTTGCATATATTCTCGCAATAGAATTTTTGATTGATGTGTGCTTTGCATATATAGTGATGTATATTTAAATCTTACTAATTCAGAATTGTTATTGAGAATACCAAACATATTTAGCGAGAAGTTCTAAACACAGAATATTTTCAGTTTAAGTATTTCCAAGCCCACAAACTCCTTAGTCTAACCCCCACCATGTATTAGGAGTAAGAGGTTGGGTCAGGCTTCCCCTAGTATCTGGTGAAGGACAATACTGAATTATTACATGAGTTGGTTGCTTGTAAATGTATGCTACTGAAGATTTATAATGGTTTGTTGCTAAACCTTTGCTCTGCAATTTCATTATAGTAGTAAATTGGTAATCAAGTTCTCTTTTATACAGATAATACAAAGATGAACGTGAACTTCACTGATCAAATTAACACTGGCTAACTAAAATCTAAAGTAGTAGAATTATGTTTTATGTATGTTTTAACTTATCCACAAAGCTAGCCAATGATATTCAATTTTATATTATTGGTATTCTTAGCAATTTTATCTAACAAATGTTAGATAAATTTCTTATAAAAATTTGGGAATTATATACGGATATAGAAATGCATTATAGAAATCATTATGAAGCCAGTTGAGCAAATTTTTTACTGAGTTAATAAACTTTGCAAACAAGAAGAAAAATAATTTTCTGTAAATAAAAGTAATGCATTATTGTGTTAAAAGTACTTCATCCTTCATGGCCATTTTCCTTACCTGTACAATGTTAAAAATATTGATAGCTACCTCCTGTGGTAGTTAGGAAGTTTAATTATGGGAATGCAGGTAAAGCACTTGGGACATAGAATGTTCTCAATTGCTATTAGCTATAATGATGATAATGACAAGGACAATTCAAATGGTTACATTGCAAGAAGTTACTAACACAACACAATGATTAAAAATATAGCTGTGCTATCAGTTTAATTGAAATATATGCAGGAGACTATGGAACTGCAAATCACTGATTTTCCTGTAATGTAACTCAAAGCCAAGTTATGTACATCTCATAACTGCTGTTGTGAATTTCCCTGTGAATACATAGCTAACAAAGACTCAGCTTTCAAGGCAACTGACATCTCTGGTCAGATTTTTAAATATATTAGTATATTCATGGGGACCAACATCTTCTGATGGTAATCTTTTAATGCACATTGGCATCTTTTAAATAAGGCAGGAAAGAAAAAAAAGAAGAAAATGACTCTTGACTCTCTGGTGTGAAATTTAACTTATTCACATGTACCAGAAATCCTCAAGCTTTGGGGAATTAAAAAAATATGAAAGTAAACTTTCATTTATCACATTTTAAAAGAAAAATGGATAGACTTGACTCAACACCCCACACTAAGGTTTTTCAAAAGGTACACATTGATTTTCACATGGGGTTTCTATCTAAAAATTTGGGGATATCACGAAGACAAAGATATGTGTGACTCGGAGTTTACAAAGGTTTGGGATTGGATTTGTAACATTCAGTGGGCTTACTGAGTTGGGCTGTCCATTCTAAATGATAAAGAAGGCTACCAGAAACTACTTCCTTGCCTTTCAAAAAATTGAATCTACGTACGAGTTTTCTTTGTAGTTGCATTCACTGTGGTGCTAAAGGGCCCAGCACCAGCGCTGTTGTAAGCCCGGACAGCTGTGTAATATGCCAGATTACTCTTCAAGCCCCGGAGTCTGGCTGAAGTCTCATTTCCCGCCACTTTCACTTTGCTTGATGATTCTTCTTCTCCATTATTCCAGTAACGTACCTGGTCAACAGAAAAACATAAAAGATGCAAAAGGTTGACACAAACAGTACCACCCCTTGCATTAAGTGATTTTCATTAAGATGAGTACTATAATATTCATTAAGATACAATAAATGTTCATTAAGGACCTACTATGTGCTAGGTATTCTATTAGATTCTGTGCCACAGGAGAAAAGGGACTCCAGGAGGAGACAGAAAATAAACCAGATAAAGAAGCAAGATAAAGTCAAAGAGAGTAAGTGCTAAATACTACTAGACTATAGTTTATAAAAGGAAAATGAGGGTGAAATCTGCAAATTTCATAGAGCAAGCTGCTCCCCCTCCTCAGGCCCAAGCTCAACTCCAGAATGCTGGCAGGTCCAAGCTCAACTCCAGAATACTGGCAAGTCTGCTTCACCTCCACTGGATGGTGGAGGTTCCCTCTGGGAAGAAAGGGAACTGTTAGAGAAAAGACTATCAAAGAGCCAGCTGGCCACTGGATTGTCCTCCAGTGATGGCCAGGTGTCAACAAGCCCACCTGTGCATGCAGGACTGCTGAAGAGAAAAGGAAAGCAGTTAACACAGTTAAATTTAAGTTATGTTAACATGTTTTATTTGTACGTCATTATACTGAATTGTGCAAAATGATCTGAGATGTTATATAAAGATAAATGCATAGGGAGTATAAAGTATAAAAATAGGTTAATGAGAATATTTAATAAAAAAAGAAAGAAGGGTAGGAAAAATCCAATAAAAATACGTGTTTCCCATCTCCAATTTATGCTGTAAAGTTCTGCTATGCTTTGCTAGAACGTTTGGATTATCCAGAAAGTAAAAGCAAAACTAATGTGAACAGCAACAGCAATAAGACCACCAAATGGTTCAGGAAAAGTACAAGCATTCCTCATGCTGAGACCCAATATCACCATTTAATCATGTAAAGCAGAGGCCAGACACTTAGCATAAATATGTAAGGCAGACTGAGTACATATTTTTTGCTTTCATAAAGAAATACATATGCTCTCTCCCGTATTTCTTGCAACATGTGCCCTTTCTGACTTTCATTTATCTTCTATTGATAGCAAAATATGAAAACCGAAGACCATTTCTATAATCTGTGTAAGTCAACAGCTGTTCGAGCACATGAAAATGGCAGGTGTCCTTAGCCATCAGAGTCGTGAAGGCAACAGACACTTATGCGGACTATGGCAAAATAGATAGCCAAGTTCCATCTTAGTAAGGGAGCCACTACTTGGCTCTACTAAGGGAAGGTGGATCCCGTGTTTACAGGTCTTTTGTTTTTTTTAAATTTATTCATTTATTTGAGAGAGAGAGAGAATTGCAAGCAGACTCCCTGCTGAGTATGGACCCCCCCCCCAACCAAGGTACAGCTCGATCCCCTGACCCTGAGTTTATGACCAAAGCTGAAATCGAGTTGGACACTTGACCGACTGAGCCACCCAGGTGCCCCTTTTGTTTATTTTAATTTTTTTTTAGAAGAGGAGAAACCTTTATTTTAATGTGAAATGGCCCACATTTAGAGTTGGCTCAATTTTTTTAAAGTCATTGTGTGGTCCAAACGAAACTTGTTTATGAGCTGCTTTAGGGTAACCAGTTTCAGTCCCCTGAGAAAAATCCACTAGAAGTTGTTTTTTGAAAAAAAAATGAGTAACTATAAAATTCTTTAGTTAAAAAAATTAGTAGCAAAGTATAAATCTCAGATTTTTCAATGATCCTAAATGAGCACACTAATATTGTACTAGAACAGTATTTTCCCTACATATGTGTATGTATGTGTGTATATGTGTATATGTATGTTTGTGTTTTTATTTATATTTGCATTCATATTTATATTTACATATAGGACCCCTCAAATTCATAGAAAATGCTGGGTCCATGTATATGTGTATGTGCATTTCTCTTGGAAAAGAGTTATTAATTTTTATATAAACCTCAAAAGAAGGATATGGACCCGAATGATCAGGACTAACTTGAATATGTAGTTTCAACACCTTTAAAGCACTGAATTAACACTGAAACTTGGTGACATTTTAGCAAAAAAAAAAAAAAAAAAATCCACATATCTTAGGGAACCCATTATAAAAGAAAACCACATAGATTTTATTCATTAATTAAAGATAACATATAAAATTGTCTTTTATAAAGCCACAGACAAGTAAATTGTTAATGGATACTAAAAACTGGTACACATTACAAATTCAACAACTGTAAACACTAGGTAGTGTTAGGTTTAGAAGACTCCAAAATGGTAAGAACATTCCCTGCCTTTGAAAGCGTTATCCACTTATTAATTAAGAATGACACATAATCAATAATTTGAATAACATGTTACAGACATTCTGAAACTTGCGGCCTTGGATGTAGCATAGATTGGGGAAAGAAATCACATAATTATGAGCTACTGAAACCCTTACTTAACAGATGGGACAGCAGAGGCACCTAGGAATTAAGTAACTCAATCAGGGCCATCCTGTCATACACACTGGTCTCTGCTTATGGGCCATTCTTCTTCTGATATGTCAAACTGCCTCAATTTAAGTTGCCTAAGAAAGTGTTCCTCAGGTGACTGACTTAAGAAATGAAAATAATTTTTAATAGGCATAAGGAATATCTCTTATAGATTTATTTATAAAAAGTACTTAAGGTTCTTGATAGCAGTATGCTTCTAAAGTACTCCATGTACCAGAACCAGAGATTTATTTTTATATCTTAGTTGCTGACACGTATTAGAAATATTTAGACCATAGTGAAAATCTGTGCCAAACTGGAATGGGATATTCATTGGAATTGATTATGTAATCTCCTTACAAAACTTTACTTAAAAAACTGAATAAATATGCATACAACTCAAACCTAAAAAAACAAGGCACTACATTAATATTCCCAATTTCTATGAGTAGAATTTCTATGAGTAGAAATTATGACCTATAAAATTTTGCTCAAAAATATTTAATAAGGGTAAAGGGTAAATAGTATTTTTTTTAAGGAGGGAAAATTAAAAAAAAAGTAAAAGCAGAAAAATAAAGGACGGAAAGGTCAAGAATGAAATAAAGACAAAGACCATATTTTCCCCTCAGTTGTGTTTGGCTTTAAATGGTAAAAGTCCTATACCTGAGAAGACAGACCATAAGTCCATGCTAATTTGGATTTTATAGACACAACCACAATGCAAGAAGAAGAAAGGAACAGCATCTAGACTGAAGGAAAACCTCTGCAAATGTAATTGTGCAAAGTGTGCTAACTACACCTCAAAAAAAGGATAGAGAATATATATATATATATATATATACACATATATATATATGTTTGTATAACATTTGGTGGAAAAGAGTTAATATAACAATGACAGACTGTGAAAGTTGTATCTACTAAAGATGAGCAGAGAAAAATATTACAAAATACATAAAGAACCTCCCTAATAAGAAAGAAAGTTTGCAGACTCGGTAGTGGGAGCCTAGCTACAAGATACTGATCTGAAGTGGATCTTGAAATAAGTATATTTAAAATGTCCAAATTCACCAAAGAAGGGACTGAATCTATGTTGCCAAGAATAGAAGATTAAACAAACAAAAGAAAACTGGATGGATTTGAAAAATATCAGAAAAATACAGTATTAACAAATAAAGTCAGTGACAGAATTAAGTTGAAGACTACATGACTGAAAAGAGAATTAATAAATCCACAACATGGAGACAAAAATAAAAGTTATGAAAACAATTAAGAGATACCAAAGATCAAATGAGAAGTTCCAACCAGAGTTCCAGGAGAGATGAAGGAAAAGGCAACAATAAAAGAGAACATGTCTGGGAATTTTCCACAACTGAATACACACATTTTTAAGTAGTAAATTCTGAGCTGGGGTGGGCGGTGCAGGTAAATCCACTGCAAAGGAGCCAGTGGTAAGAATAACTGTGGCTCTCAAGATGTCCATCGACAGATGAATGGATAAAGAAGATGTGGTATATATACACAATGGAATATTATGCAGCCATCAAAAGGAATGAGATCTTGCCATTTGCAACGACGGGGATGGAACTGGAGGGTGTTATGCTGAGTGAAATAAGTCAATCAGAGAAAGACATGTATCATATGACCTCACTGATATGAGGAATTCTTAATCTCAGGAAACAAACTGAGGGTTGCTGGAGTGGTGGGGGGTGGGAGGGATGGGGTGGCTGGGTGATAGACATTGGGGAGGGTATGTGCTACGGTGAGCGCTGTGAATTGTGTAAGACTGTTGAATCACAGATCTGTACTTCTGAAACAAATAACGCAACATATGTTAAGAAAAAAGAAAAAGAAGAAGATAGCAGGAGAGGAAGAATGAAGGGGAGTAAGTCAGAGGGGGAGACGAACCAGGAGAGATGATGGACTCTGAAAAACAAACTGAGGTTTCTGGAGGGGAGGAGGGTGGGGGGATCGGTTAGCCTGGTGATGGGTATTGAGGAGGGCACATTCTGCATGGAGCACTGGGTGTTATGAACAAACAATGAATCATGGAACAGTACACCAAAACAAATTATGTAATATACGGTGATTAACATAACAATAAAAAATTAAAAAAAAAGAAAACTCAAAAAAAAAAAAAGAATAACTCTGGCTCTCAACATTTTTCCATCACCATATACCTGAGAGTTATAGCCCATCCTCTGGAATAGCTGTGTGTCACTGTGCCTTGGTTTGCGGGTATGGAGTGTGTACCTGTGAAGAGAGACAGCTGTGCTTCTTGGCATGGCAGACAGCAGAAGGGGCAGATGCCAAGCCCTGGTGACACACCTGAGGCAGTGTCTGTCTTGATCCTCACCATGTAGCTCTACCATCCACAGCAAAGCCTGTACATACTAAGCACTCAGTATTGGCGAGTTCTTAAATGACTTAACAAATGCAGTCTAAAATGCCTCCTTCCTTTCCACCACAGAGATTCACAGATCCCCAAACCCTTGGAATCTCCTTTTGAATGCTAATGAGCTATCTGGTGGCTTCAGGCTCTTGGATAGCTT